GGGCTGCAGGAGAAGGACAGGCAGAGCCTGAGGGTGGAATCCTGTATTTATACAAGATTATACAATCTTTACATAATGCAAAATTAAACAAAATATCTCTCTGCAAAGTTCAGCACTTTCCTATTTATTTGTACTTCAGTTAACCAAGTGGGCAACTTCTCTGAATCTTCCAACCTCTCAGGTTGCAACTGTGCATCTGCCTTCCTTCAAGAAACATGGCCTCCTTTGAGCCGATCGGAGCATGAGTAGTTCTCTCTAAAACTATCCTGTGGATTAAACAATTCACAAGATACTAAAGTCAGAATAAACAAGGAAGACAGATAGAGAGTTGATCAAACATGGCAGTAGGGTTTCTCGTACAAAACTACCAACAGGAACAGCAGGACAGATAATTCCTAGGGATGCCTCGAGTCATAGTCAAGAATTCCTGCAAAGATGTCTTCAAAACCAGAAATACTGATGTCTTCAAAACCAGAAATTCCTCAAACCTGTGAGAGTCCTGGACAGAATAGTCTTGCCATCCATAAAATCCCTTTGTCCTTAATAGGTGTTCATAAAAAAGATCTTCACAGATCCAACCTGGCTTTTATTGTGCCATACAGTAGCTCAATCCCTTGGTTCTGATTAATTTTCAACAATAGGTCAAGAGTATGCTGATTGTTAGAATCTTAAACAGGAAATTGTTTTTGTCTAACATGAAAGAGAAAGTGAGATGGTCAATCGGGGGCACCAGAAAATCCTTCCTCAAAGGATAAAAGATTTCTTAGGGCTTTGAGAAAACTCAGAGATCCAGAGGAAAAGGAAAGTTTTCCAGACCAGGATGGAAAAGAAATGCAAAGGAAGATCCAGGTTCTGTTCCAGGGTGGGTGGAATCAAGTGGCTTCACTCACAAGAAAACTAAGGAAGTTTCTCAGGACTGTATTCAGTCACCACCCAAGAGATCTATGCTTCTCCTGTGGGTCTACAAACTTCTTAGATGAGATTCAACTGTAATTTGGTCTGAAATATCAAGAACTTCATCTACAGAATCAAGAATATTGGAAATATGGAGAAACCAGAGATAACTTTTTTTTTCTAACCCCAAGCAATGCAGGAGTCCACTCCTAAAATTTGCTAGGAAAACGGTGGGTCAGTGTGAGCATAAGCTAGGTGAAGTAAGTTTTATGTCACAAACACAATATGTTGCTGCTGTTGTTGTCGGTGAGGGACATTCAAAAGGTGTAATCAAACTGATTTGCAGGACAATCTCAAGTTTCCTATTTGAGATACCTACACTAACCATTAGAAACATTATCAGGTCATTGTCTTTTGTCAGACACCAAGGGGGAGGAGGGAGAATGAAGTGGGGGTCTCAGAAATTCTTTCATCAGGGGAAAAACAGCTTCTTAATGCTGTGAGAAAACCCAGAGAACCAGGGAAGAAGGAGAATCTTCCAGGCCTGTATTATTATTAAAAATATTTTTATTATTATAGAGCCTCGGTGGCGCAGTGGTTAGAGTGCAGTACTGCAAGCTACTTCTGCTGCAGCCAGCAGTCTCACCAGGCTCAAGGTTGACTCAGCCTTCCATCCTTACAGGTGGATAAAATGAGGACCCGTTGGGGGGGCCAGAGGCTGACTCTGTGTAAACCACTTAGAGAGGGCTGTAAATCACTGTAAAGCGGTATAATAGGTGCTATTGTTATTGCTATTAGCTCATCTGCTTCCTTGGGATTTGCAGCATTTGTCTAGAACGCAACATCCCATCCTGCTTTCCTTCACACAAAACCTCTTTGTTGTGATGTCCTGATTTTCGTTTCTCTACACCTCATTGCATCGTGCAGTCTTTCCAAGATGAAAATGGAGGGAGACTGAAAAAGAATTTATGGATCCAGAATCAGTGGTCTCCTGCCTGAAGAACAGAAAGTGCACGATGGATCTAACATTAACCCAAAAAAGCCCCAAATACCCAGCCGTTTCGCATGAAAAAATACTACCTGGAATACAACTATGGTTGTGTTGCAACTGTGAACTTTTCTAACGAGGAGCCGAAGGAGAGAATGCCACGTCCCTGTTCATGGCTTATTCCTGGAGGCATTCTAATAGAGACAATACAAACGGTACAATCATTTTGTACGGTGTGCAATGTTTGCCTTGCATAAGCAGAGACAGGTGCACATCTCTCTTCAGCCCCATTGTACCTGGAGCTATAACAAGTGTTTTTAGCCAAGGGTTATTAGCGCAATCAGTCAACCCAAAGCATCAAAATATGCATAGGGAGAGCGCAAGGGGAGAAACGGTGAGGTGGGGGAATATAATGGAATTTTAGTTGGTGCAGAGATCTTTCTTTGCTGGAAGTTGGTAAGAAGAGATTGGATAACCATTTATCTAAAATATTACAGGGCCTCATGCTTGGGCAGGGGGTTGGAGTAGAAGTCCTCCAAAATTTCCTTCCAACTATGTTATTTTATTATTGTGAAACACCTTTTGTTTCCATCCCCAGATTAAATGTACAGATAGTTAAATTCCTTCTTCCCCTTTAATTTGAGGGAGTTTAAGACAAAAGCTATATCTGTTAAATCAAGACAAAGTTTGAACATCTTGGACAGCAATTCCTTACAATTATCTTAGTGCTTCAAGTGAGGTTGAGATGCACAGAATTATATGTTCTCTCCATCAACTAAAATTTCATTAAATCCCCCAAATTCCTTGTGCATCCAATCACATTTGGCCAATAAAAAGAATTTCTAATTCTAATTCATAAAAAGAATACTAATTCACATATACACTGATTGTGGGTATTTTAATACTTAAAGTTGACTGATTGAAATGTACAGATAGTTCAATTCCTTCTTCCCCTTCAGGTTTGATGGAGCTTAAGACCTCAGCTTAAAATTAATCTTGTTGGATTTCCAAAGACAAAAGAGCTTAAGAGAGATGTTTACCTATCTTTGCTCATGCAAAACAAACATCGCGCACTGTTCAAAATTATTATGCTGTCCACATTGTCTCTCTCAATAAACCTACAGGAATAAATGATATAGAGACATGGCATTCATTCATTTTGGCTCTTGGTTAAAAGGCACAGTTCCAATACAACCATGATTGCGTTCCAGATAGTACCTTTTGCCACTAACCCACTGGAAATTTTTAATTTTTTTAAAGGTTGGGATATCGGATAATGCTTCACAAACTGCAAATCCCCCCCTTTCCTCCAGAATCACTTTAGTTCACTTTTGGTGGTACACCAGTTGAGTCTGTCTCCAAACCAGGAGACCCTTGTGTCCTCCCTTCCAGACTACTGCAATATTTCAGCAAATCTTTTAATTCTCAGACTTTGTGTCTCTCCAAGCTCCAATGGAACTGCATCTATATGCAGGGGGGAATGCAGTGGCTCTTTCTTAGGCTCTGTACACTTCAACATCTTCATCAATGATTTGGATGAAGGGATAGATGGGGAACTCATCAAATTTGCAGATGACACTAAGCTGGCAGGAATAGCCAGGGCTCCAGAAGATAGGCTCAAGAGCCAGATGAATTTCAACAGACTTGAATTCTGGGACCCATGTAACAAAATGAAAATCAGTGGTCAAAAAAAGCAAAGTTTTACAGTCAGGCAAGATAACTGAAATGTACAGATACAGATTATTTATTTTTATGTATTTTTATTTATTTATTTGTCAATCACAAGATAATAGGTACAAGTATAAACATGAGTAAGAATACAGGAAGTAGGAACGAATAAATGGGGACAATAGGACAGGGTCGGTAGGCACGATGGTGCACTTATGCACGCCCCTTACAGACCTCTTAGGAATGGGGTGAAGTCAATATTGGATAGTTTGAGGTTAAAGGAGCAGGGGGTTAGAGGATGTAACAACAGAGTCAGGTAGTGCATTCCAGGCACTGACCACTCTGTTGCTGAAGTCATACTTTCTGCAATCAAGTTTGAAGTGGTTTACATTGAGTTTGTATCTGTTGTGTGCTCTTGTATTGTTGTGGTTGAAGCTGAAGTAGTCATTGACTGGTAGGACATTGTAGCAAATATTTTTGTGTGCTACGCTTAAGTCTAACCGTAGGCGGCATAGATCAAGGTTGTCCAAGCCCAAAATCTCAAGCTTGGTGATATAGGATATTCTGTTGTGAGCAGAGGAGTGTAGTACTCTTTTAGTGAAATACTTCTGGACACACTCAATTGTATTAATGTCCAATATACAGTGCAGATTCCAGACTGAAGAGCTGTATTTGAGTATTGGTCTAGCAAAAGTTTTGTATGCTCTAGTTAGCAATTCGATATTTCCGGAGAAGCTTCATAAGATTAGATTTACAACTCTTAATTCATTTTTGGCAATGCTGTTACAGTGAGCTCTGGCGCTTAGGTCATTTGATATGAGAGCTCCAAGGTCCTTGACAGAGTGAGGTCATATCCGCCTAGCTTGTATTTGTTGTCCTGATTTTACCAATGTGTAGGACAGATAATTTGTTGGTCGAGATTTGAAGTTGCCAATTGTTTGACCATTCAGACACATAATCGTCACTTTGAAGCATTGTTGGTGGTGTTGAATAGTTTTACCTCCTCCGCAAAGAGGACGCAGTTGCTTATAAGGTGATTGCAAAGATCATTTATATAGAGCAGTGGTTCCCAAACTTTTTCAATCTACCACCCCCTTGGTGCTACAAACTCAACCTCAGTGGCCCCCACACAGGGGTGGGATTCAAATTTCTGTGGGTGTGGCCTAATTTGAGAGTGTGGCTTGCTGGTCATGTAACTGGATGGGCATGGCTTGCTGGTCATGTGAGTGGGCAGGCGTGGCTTGCTGGTCATGTGACCGGGTGGGCATGGCTTGCTGGTCACGTGACTGGCTGGCGTGGCTTGATGGCTGGGCGTGGCTTGGTGGTCACATGACCAGGTAGGTGTGGTTTGGCAGTCATGTGACTGGGTGGGCATGGCCTGGTGACTGGCAAACCAAATACAAGTGGTCCTCACTTAATGGCCGGTTGTTTAGCAAGTGTTCCAATTTATGACTGGCCTCCCCAGAGCTACTTGACCTGTTTTTGGAGTTTTGACAGTCATGCACACACATACACACACACTCCCTTCTAACCCTGCTGGAGCAGGTCATTGGACTAGAATTGGCAAAACATCTCTGATTAGATTCTAATAGTGAATAGAATGTACTCAGAGATGCTTTGCCGATTCTTGTTGATTTGTTTTATTTGTATTTCTTTATTTTATGTTGCTGAATTGCATTGACATGTGTGTCCCTTCTTGTGCACAATCCAGAAGCTTTTGTGATTCTTTGCAGCAAAAATTACTGACCTCTGGCTTTGCTCTACTTTTCAAATGTGCCGCCACTGCCGCGTTCTAGGTGCCGGCCCCGCAGGTCTACCCCCTTGAGCCCGCTGCACCGGAGGGACCTGCCCAAGCAAGGCCAAGCGGAGCGTTGCACCAAGTCAATGGGGTGAGCCTGAGAGAGGGAAAGAGAGAGAGAGAAAATAAAGAGAGAAAGAGAGAAGGAAGAAAAGAAAGAGAAAAGGGAAAGAAAGAAAAAGGGACAGATGAAGAAAGAGGGGGGAGATGGAAGGAAGGGACAGAAAGAAAAAGAAATAAAGGAGGGAGGGAGGAGAAAGATGAGATATCTATTCTAGTCCAATCACCTGCTCCAGCAGTGTTAGAAGGGAGTGTGTGTGTGTGTGTGTGTTCTCCCTGTAATTTACCAGTACATTTTGCTTTTGCCTTCTCCAGAATTGGCACTGTAATACATTAAGGAAAAGTAATTTTTAGGGTGGAGATCTGGTTCAATGGATCCTGTTTAAAGCCTCAACAAAATGTGAGAGCTTCCTGATAGTCTTGATCATGTTTCGTCCACAAAACCTTTAATAGAAGCCAAAGGTGTTTCAATGTGCTGGCAAAGATGTTTCAATGTGGAAAAGGGCCTCAGTCTAAACTAGGCCTCATTTCAATCTGA